AAGAAAAAAGCATGATTAAGAGAGAAACTGGAAAGCCACAATTATGGATCAGGTAGGATTAATTATCAGAGAGAATTATTTCTGGGACATTTAGGCTTTGGTCTGAGTGAGGCTTTATTGTTATAGAGTTAAGGTAATGTTTGTATAACTGTATTGGGAGAGTAAGGGCCTGGAAATTATGGATAAACATAATTTTGTAACAGAAGAGAAGAGAGTGGATGAGAAATATTACATGACATTTATATACACTAAAAAGGGAATTTCACATGGTAATTTTTCATTGAACATCCAGGAGCAGGAACCCATTGGAAAGAAACTAACTTCTGAGTGTATAATCTGTGGGTTTCCATTTCGAATTTCATTGTAGTTAAAGGATTTTTTTGTCTTGAATAGTGCAAGGATTTCACCTGGAATATACTTAGTAGAGATAGAAAGATCGAATTGTCTTCACAAGGATTCTGTTTTTCCTGTCACTTTTCCATCTCCTTATTGTTTCAATTTAAAATAAATTTTGGAATCTTGAAGATTAGGATTAGTAAAATGAACACAAGATGATCTAGTGCTTCCCATAGTATTATTTCATAAAGGGGGCTGATCACTTCTTAACAACACAGAGAGATTGAAAAAAGATGCATAATAAGTGAATTTTGTCTTTTTACAAATGTGTTTACAACTTATTTTTGAACAAGCTGTAGGATCCATTAGAAAGAAACCCTATTTTATCCATCCAGTAATCTTGCACACATTTCTGAAGTCTGATTACCAGATTTATATTGTGCTATATCCCATCTCTTACTTATCCTAATATATTATTTAGCCTCTCTGGTATATTCAACACTCAATTTAACGTTATCTGCAAATATAATAAGCATATTCTTTGCACATCCTCCAGGGCGTTGTCATGTATTTCTCAGTAAAACAGTCTTAAATGAGACTAAATTAAATTTTGAAATGAGAAGGAATAATATCAGACTCTTAAAGGAATTTAGAAAACTTAAGCACAGTGCTCTGGAAAATAGAAAGCCTCCGTTAAATGAACCCTCAATTAAAGATAAAATGCTACTTAAAGAATTTATAGCAAAAGTAATTTGAATCAAGGTAACATTTTTAAAAACTCCTAAGTGGCTTAGGAACCTAGGTCCCACTGTCAAAAAGTGACTTTGGTGACGTTTTTAAAGGTATTAATGTGCTGAATGATGCACATAGGTGCTTGCAATGTGATTTTCACTTTCCAGTTACAAATACAATGTAAATGTAACTTATCTGTGTTTGATTAAGACAGTCCTTAGAGAATTTTTTAATGCAAAATATTTTTTTAAAAACAGTTCAGTTAATTATATAGAGGTTTGAATAAGTTGATTGTAAAGCAGATCCCATACTACAGGGTGTGCCCCCAAAATGTATCTGCATTCATAATATAATTAAAATAATACCACATTGATGTTACTGTGGTGCACACATTGTTTTTGAAATAATAATCCATCTCTGAGGCTAAAAAATTTATCTTGATAAAGAAATGGGATTAGTTCTGACCTATAAACCCAAAAGTACTGCAAGTAATGCAGCAATAAAGAACAGGTTTGTTGAAAACACTGACTGCCAACATTAACTTCAGTGGGGTTACCCAGGTGTAACTTGGAGAAGAAATTTACCCAAAGATATATTACTGGGAAATACTGACTAATTATTGGTTAATTGAGTTTTTTGTAAATCTCTGTGGATTTGCCAGGTATAAACAGGAATGTTAAATGTTAAGACAGAATTTCTAACAGAAAAATATTACAGGCAAGTATGGAGAAGGGATGTAAGCGACTAGTTGACTACGTGATAAGCATTGAGTAGAGAGAGAAGCAGCAAGGTGGGGGAGGGCAGAGCTAGTGCTAAGGGAGCCTGTTTAAAAGCTGGTTCCCCCCAGCACCATCTCTGCAGGGGGGCCAGGGGAGGCAAAGGCACAGCGGGGAAACAGCATGAGTGGGAACCGAAGGAGTCCCTGCTTGCACCGGTCCCAACTCCTGTGCCCTTCCATTTGAAATGTACAAGAGCTGCGGGCAGCTCTTGTACATTTCAATGGGAGAGGTGCAGCAGTTGGGTCCCTGTGCAAGCAGGGACTGCTTTGGTCCCCCCCTTGCATGGGTTCCCCATTGTGCCTCTTCCCTGCTGCGAGCAGCTCTTGTACATTTCAAAAACAGATGCACAGTGAGATAACGAGTGCCCCCCTTATGGACTAATCGAGTAGTCGATGGAGATGGAAATTCCATCGACTATTTGATTAGCTGATTAATCAAAATTTAACATCCCTAGTATGGAGCTCAAGAATCTGAATCTCTATTCTGAAAGATGATAGTGAAAAGTTGTACTTTAAGGAAAATTGAGACTATATAACAGTTTGGTGTTATTACAGCCATCACCTTATTAATCATGTGGTGTAAGTCTATTGACTTACCTTCACACTTTCATTGCAATCCGTAATGCTTGTGCCAAGTGCTCAATGACCTGAGAAATCCAGGTAGCTGAAGATAATTAATCTTTTTCATTCATATAAAATGTTTCCCTTTCTCCATTTATACATTAGTGTGACGGGCCATCCTCGGCCCGCACTCCGGACGACGGGGGGAGGTGGGGAGCGAGCGGAGCCGTGGGGGATGTGCCCCAGCGGCAAGGCGCCAACACGGCAGTGTAGCAAGGCCAGAATCTAGTGGGAGGGACGGAGAGTGGCTGCCCGGTCACGGCAGGGGAGCACCCCACGTCACCGGAAGGGCGGGCCCTCCGGACGACGTCACATCCGGCAGGCCATTTTAAAATGGTTCGCCGCCAGCGTGGAGCGAGGCAGCCGCCACAGCCGCTGGATGGTGGACCGGGGCCAACAGGCCACCAGGAACGACCCGCACGACCGACAGACGTCGAGCCCCCGCCACAGAGGGGCCCCTCACCGAAGGCAAACGGTGCGTCCTGGACTCTAAGCAGCCCAGGAGAGTCCCTGCGGAACGCAACGGGAGTGACGGACAGCCAAGAGGTCCCCCAGACACCAACCGTCAGAACCACGGTAGGCGCAGGGGCACTAGAGGGCGGGCCCAGGGGGCCCCTAGAGGAGAGGAAGCAGCCCGGGGTGGACCCCGTGGACAGACGCGTTTAGGGAATAACCCCCTCATCTGTCGTGCAGGGGCGATGGCGAGCCCCCGCACTTAGGGCCCCAGACTGGAACCCGGGAGAGAGGGCGGGCCTGGGTCCCCTTCCCCCTCCCTACACACAGCCACATGCCCTGCTATATGGTGAGGCACATTGTTGCCGGCAAGCCAGACAGGCAAGGTCTAGCCCCGAGGAGGGGTCTAAGACTCACTCTGGGTCCTGGACCCTCTGGCCGGGGAAGCAGGATGGACAGCGGGTTCGCTGAATCCCCCCGGCTCGGCAGAGAGGGGGTGATCGCACCCAATCTACTGGCCACGGGACCGGGAATCCTGCCCTGGGGCCAGGCCGATGGACAAAGGGGTTTGTGGAGCCCCCCTGCCTAACCGGCAGGGGGGCCTGTTATTCGTCCACAATTAGTACAATACAATGCCTTGATTTTGTATAGTTCTAAGTATATAAAATCAGTTTTATATACGATCTCCCTTTCTATTTTCCCTATTGTCAGTCCATTTTGGACTGAAAATAGAATCCTTTAGCCTTTAGGGAACCAGCGGAATCCTATAATCCATAGCTTGTGTTAGCATACCAGTAACACTTATTGCCTCAACCATCTCTGACAGCTGAATCTGATGTGCTGCAAGCAGGCTTGTGGTGGTTTGGAATTGAACTGACTCCTGGAGAAACCTATATTATTACACAATGTGCTATTTTAGAGACACTTGCATTTAAATTTTGTCTTCAAAAGGTGGAAATATTTTTCTTTCCACTGCTATTTCTACTCCTGTTATCTAGACAGCGGTTTTACTTTAGAAAAACCCTTTTTCGAAAGACTGCACAGCTGCCATTATGCAAATGAAATGCGGGAAATTCAAATCCCGGCTTCATTTGCAATTTCGATCTGTCTAATTTACATCCCTCTTTTGAAAGAGGGATGTAGTTTAGACATACCCTTAGAGTCTATCTGCCCCAATCAGAACTGAGGTTCTAATGTGCTGGACTCTTTACCAACGTGTTAGAAGAAATGCATTCCAGCTCTGAAGTTCTCACAATAGCGCAAGAGACAACAAGAGAAGATGACAAACAGATCAAAGTTGATTGTAACAGAGGTAAGCAGATGTAGTTACACAGATGAGGTTTGTAAACAGCACATGTATCGGAGTCTATACTTTTTTTGTATCTTTTGTTAAAAAAAAATTTTTACTCTGTGAATTCCTAGGAAATCATTGAGCCACAACAGTACACTGGTACAATACACAACAGTACACTAGTTATGGGTAAAACCAAATTTAAGGACTCCAGTCTTTAGGTACTAGTGGTGAAATCATGGACCCATTACAGCTAATGACAAAATTTCCATTCATTTAGGGTGAAATCTTGACCCATGTGAACAGCATATATATAATGACCCGTCCTGAGTAGATCATCAACTTTATAAAGCAGAATATATCTTGGGGCCAGTGGCATGTCAATGGAGCATTGACAGTGCCTATTATTTGCTCACAGTGCCTGTGTTCACAGACCAGTTATTCAGGGAAAGACTGGTAGAGTGATATTCTTTTACATTACAGTTGTCATTCTAGAATGTGTGTGCTACTCAGACCCAGCATATGCTGAGCACTGAATGAGGGAGACAATTCAGTATTTGTTTATGATAAACAGAATTTCCATTTTCATAGATTCAAGGTAACATGTTTATGCATCTCACATTTCCACTTCAAAAGAAGGAAAGAGAAAACTGTAATCCTTTTATGACAGCCTAATTTTTGTATGATTATAAGTGCTATTTAACATGAGTGCAATATTGGTTTTGTTAATCTGTTTACCGTACTTCCAAGTACTCAGTGATTGCTATGAAAATGCACTTGAATTATTATTCTAAAGATAAACATCTGCGCATCCTTTCCCATCAAGAGGTGAAAGGTGCGGCCTACTGTATCATGGTATGGTTTTGGATGACTCCATATAAATAAATCTAATGCCTTTTATTTTTATTATCAGAACCCCAGAACAGCATTCTTGTTGATGGACTGAACAGCTCAGTTTTAAATCACTACATATTATATACAAGTTTTAAACATACAGCAGTAAATCCAAAGTTAAATTTATCACCCCCCCTCCCCCCCGCAAAGTAGTGGACAATAATTAGTTACATAATTTTGCTTAGTTTATATGCATCTAATGATCATAAGTTCTGCATAGAGATCACAGGGCACTGGACTTTCAGGCATATATATTAGACTTAGCAAAATAATCAGTTGTGCCTAGCTGTGACAAACATGGGAGCTTTTTCTTCATAAAATTATCTATGTGGGTTTCTGGGTGGTTATATTTCTGAGTGAAAACAGAGTAAATGAGAGGGAAATCAGGCTTAGTTAACTTGGCAGGAACCAAATATCAATGCCTATAGACTGTCCTAATGGTTAGTACAGACACATGGATGTTATAATTACTTTGAAATTTACCTCCACCAATGCAGAATCAGGTGCTATTGGTCTAATGAAAAGTGTGGAGCTTGAAAGTAGTTAAAAAGTGTTTCTTATGAGGAGACAAGATTTGCAGCTTGATCGCAAAAACAGAGTGGGTATATCAATGCTCCCTAACTGCATTAGGTAAATGTTATATTTAGATAATCCTTAGACACACATTAATATTGTCTTGTTTTAAAAGCTTTTTCTCTCTGTTATGTTCCTATTGATAAATCATAATTTGTTTTGAACAAACTGTTTGCTATCACTGCATTTTCAGATTGGTATCACTGGGCTCAACGAGTGTTAAAAATCCCAAGGTGATACAGTTGGTAAGCAAGGGATGCCAAAGCCTTGGTAATTAATTCTAAAAGTGAGGTTGGCTGAGGAGAATGAGTTACATTGCTTAGTGCATAGGACGTCAGAGGATTTTCCATTTGTATTATCTAGCACAACAGCACTTTACTAGGAGGAGGCAAAGGGAGCAATAAGCAATGGAAATTGACTAACAGAAAGGCCATCAGGGGATTGGGATAGGTTTACCAAGATGTAGACAGGAGTGGAGTTTAGTAGAGCCTTGGAGGATAAGGTCAAGAACCTTGTGTCTGTTGAAATGTCATTTGTTGCAAGAGGTGATAGCTAGTAAAGGAAGTTGAGGAGGATCAAAGTGCTATGAAGGGGGCATAGGTATGTACCAGCTGCATTTTGAATATTCTAGAGAACCTGCAGCATTTTTATTAGTTTCTCACATATCCACCCTCTAGTCTGAGACATGAAAAGGAGGAGACTGCACAGTAAAGGTGAGACCTAATCAAAGCATAAACAGGGTTTTAGTGGTAGGAGTGGAGCGCACTGTGGCCAAATCTTGTGATTTTATTAGGTCTCATGATATACAGTGTTTTACTTAAAGCAGTAGCTCCTGAAGAGAGGTGATTGTAAGAGTGTCCCAGCTTCCATATTTAAAAAAAAAAAAAGTTTCTAACCTACTTTGTGATTACAGAGAAGAACTTGTAAACCTGACCCAAGTTCTCCCTAAAGGCTCTAAAACTAGCATCCTAGCATTAAACTTGACCAACTGGAACCGATAGCTGTTGTTTCTGAGCCTCATTGAATGTCACCTGTCAATTAGTATATCTTTATATTCCACTCAGGGAAGGAACCACATCTACAAACTTTGAATCAACTTGTATAATGTACAAAACTTGGCTTTCATTTAAAAACTAACTTTATTTTACTGTAAATTAACATGTAAGGCTCTCTTTAGCTCTTAAAGTAAGAATTTTCTGCTTTTCAAGATGTACACTAAATAGTGTTTCAATCTCCTATGAAATGGGGAGTCCCTGCATGGGATAAGAAGGTGTTTCATAAACCACTGTTGCCTCACTCAGTTCAGTACTGGTAAATTGAGTCGTCTCGGTTGGGAATGAATATGAAGTGCTAGGATAGAGAAAAATACACACATTTACAACTGTCATTACAGTTTAATTTCCTTGTCAGAGCAGGTGAGCTACCTTGCACAAATAGCACAGTCTAAAAGGTCAGTTCTTTGTTACCTGAACTGTAGGACAGATTCAGCAATCTTCCGAACTCATGACAGGAGTCTCTGAGCAACACCAGCCTGAAGACATTTAAATATGATGTTTATGACACTTGCAGACATATTTGGGGGTTAAAATATGAAGCAAAACTACATAAGACAAAAGCCTGTAAGTACATACGCCAAAAGAAGCACAAGGAAGTGTCTCAAAAAACACAATTCTAAAAATAGGAGACTTCCTCCCGCACAAATATTAATCTCAACAGTACGACATCAGGGACATGTGGAATCAATTTCCAATGCACCTACAGAAAGCATCAGATCTGATTCTCCATTGCTGTTCATTTTATGAACTCATGTACACCTGGGCAAGGAGATCTCAAACTGGAATAAATGAGTAGCAAATTCTAATTTGGTAGCATTTAAGATTAATTTTGCAGCTGGCTCCAATTGGCACAGGGTAGAGGACAGTCAGGGAGACTATATGTATGATGTTTCTAGCAAATTAACTAGAAACAATTACCTGCTGTCTTGACCTGCTGGTATCGTGTAATCCTATTGCAATTTACAATTTTAAAAAAGTCATGTTTTCTTTAGCAAGTGTTAAAAAAAATAGCAGAAGGCTTTCAGAATTTGCATTCAAGAATTTGAATCTTAATGTTGTATGCTATTGGTGAACTAAAAAGAACAGTATTCTCAGCTTCAAAGAGTTGAAAATGTATGTGGAAAGTCACATCTTGTATCTAGGATTAGCTGTGATGTAAGCTTGGAAAATCTGTTCCTTGAACAAAGCTCACATTGCAGATAAATGGTCTAAGCTTTCCAAGTTCATGATAATTTGTAGACAATTTAGTCATCAGTGAAAATGGATTGGTTGAGCCGGTCCTTATGTCTTTGTGGCAGCCCTTATAGGATTGGTGCCTGAAGCTGTGATCTTGCTATGTAGCAGGCCTCATTAGTAAGTGGATAATAGACTTCCATATACGTCCCCATCAGATTCTCGGGAATAATATTTATTGTTCAGGGTCTTGAAACCTTCCCTGGAATCAGATAGAACAAAGAAGCCAATGGATATTCTGTCCATATGTAGCTAAACCATAAATACATTTTACACAAGATAGCCATATGATTCTTTTCCATCATGTATGTATGTGCAATGCGACTTAATTATCCATTAATTCAACTCTGAAAGACATAGTCTACCATTCCCAAACCATTACCAGCATTTTTTAAAAAGTGTGAAATAAACCAACCTGCTAGGAAAATATTTTCTCCTTCTACCTCAAAACATAGACTTTCCCCACCTCCCAGTTATGTTTGCTGCATAAACAAGCTGGACAATTGTGCAATTTTCAGTCCTGGCCCAACAGAAGCTTCCTTTGTTACAAAAATATCATTGCCTTATAGTCCAACTGTCCTGTCTCTACTGGGCTACAAATGAGTGTTACATAGCTCCAAGAAATAGCGAATTCCCCTCTTGCCAATGGAAAGTATCACTTCTAGCCTTGAAATATTTTATGTGTAGAAAGACTAGTTATAGGGTTTTTTCACTTTTACTTTGTATCTGAGCCTCACTCAGATCATAGTAACAAAAAAAATTCACCATAAAGCTGGAAGGATCCAAGAAAATATAGAGCTAATCCCCAAAGTTTTATTACAACATTTTATAAGCATTTTAAATTTCAACAAATAACAAGTCAAATGTTTTTTGACCAATCCCATTTAAAAACACTTGGAAGCATAATGGAATATGACATGGATAGGGTCCATGAGAGTTTGCTGTGGTTTTAAGCTTTTATCAACTCTCATTTGGTATTATCTGCATAACTCATTCCTGACCTCAGTAATCACCCCAAACTGATGCCACTAAAACCTGTTACATTATACCACACTGATATATTAAATACTTGTGTGGGTCATTACAAAACTTTTAGAATGCCAACATGAAAAAAATGACACAATATAAAAATGTAAGCTGCTTATAATGCTTCAGATTGAAGTTAATGGAGCAGAAAGTCAGAAGTAAGCATTTAAAGATAGTTTGAATACTTAGAAGCCAGAACAAGTCAAAATTAGAAGAAATATTTTAAAAGGGTATTTACGAGTTTAGGCTGTATGGCAGTTACGTTATTTGGGATCATGTTAAGTCAACACTCCATTCTAGCACTTTTTTCCTTATCTTCTATATATATTAGAGAGTATGTCTATCTGTGTGTTTTTCTGTTTGTTCAAAACTCCTCTTGAACGGGAAGAGCTAGGATCTTCCAATTTAGTATATAGCTTCCTCTTATCATAACTTAAAGCAAGATAAGGGTTGGTTGTGCCAGGAAAATGGAATGGGCCTGGACTGGGATTGCAGTCTACAAAGAGAAGAGACAGAATCCCCAGGCATGTGAAAGAGGCTCAGTAGGAGTGTGCCCCCCATGTGAAACTAACCTAGCCTCAAACCTCCAACTCTCAGGTGTCCTGGAGGGAGGGCAGGGGGAGCTGAAGTTCCCTCCCTCCCAATTCATATGGGAACATTGCTGGCTGTTCCCCTTCATCAGGGAGTGAAGGGAAAGTACAGAGTTTGCTGCATTCCTTATTCTGGCTGGGAAACACAGGCAGCAGATGAACCTGGACCTGCCCTAGCCGGGGGACATGCACCATTTCCCCCACCTGTGTCCACTGGAGCTGCAGTGGCCATGGAGGGGGGTGCTTCTAACCTGGTCGCAAGCTTATGTGGTAAGAGAGGGCTGGGATAGTCCGCTCTCCCTGGAACAGCCTGCACACTGATTGCCTTACCTCCAGACTCACCCCAGAGCATGTACATTTTCATTTTATTTTCCAAAAAACAAAAATTAATTGAGCTAAGGACCCAAGCAATGCTGGGTAAATCTTCTAATAGTAAATACAAAATAATACTGCTTTAGCTGCCTGGCTCTCTCTTTTTCTCTCTCTTTCTCTTTGTTGCTTTGCTCTTGCTAATAGCAACTGATTTTGAAGTGCTCTTTTCCCTCCATGTGATGCACATCATTCTGCCCTGAGGCTTAAAAAAATACTCAGACTGGGAATAAGATTCCGAAGCAGTGATTTTGTTCTACAGATTAAGTTCTACTTCACCAGCACCCATGAATCCTGTAACTGCAGCATTTGAATTTTGACGGGTAAGAAGAATGACATTCATCTGCATTTGTTAAGCTTATTATTTCTTACAAGCCTAATGGACACAGTTGGATTTACAATGAAAATGCTGGATAAGCAGCAGAGAGCACAAAGAATTTGACCATGGTTGTTGCCAATTCTGGAGGGAGAAATCAGGTCTAGTTGATAAATAGATACATCTATCAATCAGATAGGCACTTGGAGTCAAGTTAGATGAATTTATTTAAGTGACCTATAACTTGGCAGAATTGAGTCACTGCTCCCACAGTTCACTGAAATTTTATTTTTGATATACAAAATTCGTTGGCATCATACCAGGGATTAATTTCATTAAACTGTTTTGAATACTGAAGATTCCATAGGAAAAAAGTCTTTTTAATAAATGCTTTTGTGTTGTCATGGCAGAAAAAATTCTCTACAGGTTTTTGTAAATTCTTCATTAAAGAAGCAAATCCCACTACAAAGCAGTCAGTCATTCCGATTTGAATGTATATAGAGCATTATATGGGCTACAACTAATGAATATTTATATACAGGAAAGATAGTATCATTGAAGTGTCCAGAAGTCCCATTAGTGATGATCTGACATCTACCAAGAAAGAGAAAACCTACTTCTCTCTTGGGGTATGTCTGTACAGCATGCTTATTTCAAAATAAGCTATTTTGGAATGTTTTTTCCAAAACACCTTATTTCAAAATAGCACGTCTACACTACAGGGAAGCCTCAAAATTAGTCTGAGACAGGCTTCCCTGACGTGAACATGCTACTTCGTTTAGAGCTCCAGGAGGAACTGGGGAGTAATTACTTTGAATGGCCTTGGGGAAGAGTTATTTTGAAATAACAGCAGTGTAGCATCCACACTTCTGCTATTCTGAAATAGCTATTTTGGAATAAGTGTTGTTCCTCATGGAATGAGGTTTACAGATTTCTAAATAAACTGTCCATTATTTTAAAGTAATGGTATTGCTGTGTAGACGCTTGCAGTGTTATTTTGAAATAACTGTGTTGTGTCAACACACCCTTGCTAATCTGTTCAGTAGAGCTGTAGCCAGCATTTAAGCTAAAGCTGGCCTATGTGGAGTTTTTATACACTCATCCCTGGGAGGCCCAAGTCACTGTAAATGCAAAGTTAGAATTGATGATTGATATAAACTCTCACAATGGGCTCCCACTTACTGTGAAAGCATGCTGAGATGTGGGAAGTGAGAGCAAAATGTCTGTACATTTGGAATGGCCGAAGTGCTAACTATAGCAAAAGCTTTGTTATGTGGCATAGTGGGAGGGCTGGCTCAGCAAATATTCTGGTGAACCAAGAGTTGGGCATATGGGCAGGGGCTCTGGACTGAGGTAGGGGGATGGCAGTTGTGAGGGAGAACAGGCTACAGTCTAGGGCCAGAAATGAAGGATTTTAGGTGCAGGAAGAGAATTAGAGGTGTGTGGGAAGGGGCGTGGGGTTTGGGCTCAGGGAGGAAGTTTGGTGTGAGAAGGGGCTTGGGACAGGGATGAGGTTTTGCGCAAAAGTTCTTGCACAAGAGAGCATCCACACTGTCATGTGTTTTTGTAGAAGAGATGTGCTTTTGCGCAAGAGTGTCCATGGCAGTGTGGATGCTCTCTTGCGCAAGAAAGTTCTGATAGCCAGTATAGCCATAGAGCTTTCTTGCGCAAGAAACCCCTGTTGCCTGTCTACACTGCCTTCTTGTGGAAGAGCTCTTGCGCAAGACGGCTTATTCATTGTGGGGAGAGCAATAAGTCTTGTGCAAGAAGCCCCGTTTTCCAATGCTTTACTATAAATTTACTTGCGCAAGAACGTGCGTGCAGTATAGACGCTCTGCAAGTTTTTGCTCAAGAACAGCTGTTCTTTGTGCAAAAAGCCTGCTGTGTAGATGTAGCCTTGGAGTGAGGAAGAATAATTTTATGTTGTGATGCACAAACTTCAGTGGTTCAGGGTACAAATTAGCCATCAACATTACCCAAAATGTTGATATTACTGTAATGATAATTCATTATTTCATTTACTAAAGCACGACTCTTATTTAAACAGAATAGTGGGAAATTATTAATTATATATTATTCTCATACCAAGCAAGACAATAATTTAGTGCAAATTGATTACTGTGTTATTAACCAATTAAGTTAAAGCATCCTGATCAATAAATTAATAACTTAGATTGGTTAATAATACTATTAAAACCCTGTGCAATTTAATGTTCTGCAGGGGAGATATTTGAAAATCATTTGCAACTCTCAAGCCATAGTCTGAGTATTACTGATCTTGTGGTTCAAGTACAGTGTTGTAAAACAATGATTTTACCTTTCTGTTCCTCATCTTCCCATAGGCTTCATGAATAGCCCTGGGCAAGTCATTAATCCCTCTGTTGTTACCTTTTCTGACCTGTGAAATGGGAATAATACCCACTTCACTCTGGTAGTATGAGGATAAATTCATTTGTGTGTGCAGCACTTAGATACCAGAGTGATGGTGGACTTTAACATGCCAACTAAAAAAAATATATAAATAATACTTGTACTTCTGAGTTTAGTTTAGATCTACAGGAACAAGGCATCTTTAAATTTTTTTAATTATTAAATAACACTAATCCCACAAGAGAAGAAATCATCTGCCAGTTCAGAAGGGGATTTTCAGATTTCAAGATTTTGTGTTTTTATGTCCATGTGCATATATGTTAAAAACCCACACACTTACATAGAGAAGCTAGACAATTTTCCATGTGTCAGTAACAACAAGGAAGGTTTAGCAGTGTGCTATTCTTTAGCATGAGAGCTCAATTTTAGGTAGAATTATCAAGAAATGTTATTTTTCATCAGTATGACATTGTGTAGAAGTACAAAAGACACAGTGGGTTTCCCAATTTAAAGTTGGAACATTGAAAACAA